GGGAGAATGAAAGAGTGAGGGATATGGGTGGAAGAAAGTAGAGCAAAGATGATGTAGATGAATATAATTGGATTTAGGGGGGGGGGAGTACCAGTTAACTAGCTGATGTGTGTTACTAGCCTTGCCTGCTTGATAATACCTGAGTATTTTGTATGTCATTATCATATCCCACTTGTTCTATCTTTTCTGGTGGAGGTTACCTGGAGGTTACCTGGAGTTAAGATAAATTCCTTAAGTCTCATAGCCTTTTATTCTGAGTTCTAGTACCATTCATTGTGAACCTCTGTATTTTCTCTAGTGTCTTTACATGCTTAATCAGGTGTGGGCTCCATGCTGGCACTGCTTACTACAAGGTGGGCCCAATGTAAGCAATATATGATGTTCTAAATGAATCTTTGCTAAGCTTCCTGAAAATAGTTTTCAAGTTAGCTACATTTACATATGCCACTGAGGTTATATGAGTTGGTGATCTGCTTGGTGCTAGTTTTACAATCACCTCTTATGTCATGTTTGCAGTATTATATTTTACCTGTGTGAGTGCGTGCGTGTGTGTGTGTGTGTGTGTGTTTGTACTCGCCTGTTTGTGTATGTGCGTGTTTGTTTTGGGCATGTTGGACTGCCTGTGTGTGCACATCTTTGTATTTTATGTGTGCGCGCATGTGCATGCATTTTAAGTGTGTGTGAGTGCGTGCGCATGTGTGCATGCATGAATGCGTGCGTGCAGGTGGATGTGTGCAGGCGCTGGGAGTGGATGGGTGTGTAAGAGGATATTGTGTTGAGGCTCATTTCCTGCGTCACGCATGATCGCCTACTTCATCGTGTCTGGCTACTATCTGCTGATAGCTTACACACACACACACACACACACACACACACACACAACCCACACACACAACACACACAACACACACACACACACACACACACACACACACCACACACCACACCCACACACACCACACACACACACACACACACACACACCACACACACACACACACACCACACACACACACACACCACACACACAACAGATTCGAGTGTGTACCTCGACCGAGACAGAACACAGACGAAAGGAAACAATGAAGAAGACAAAAACAAGAGAAATGGGAGGAAATGAAAAAGGAGAGCAGAATACCCCAGGATCAATGAAGGACAACCACCCCCCAAAACACCTCAGAAGGATCCAGCCACGACACCCCCAAGGCAACGACATTCCAAACCAACCATCACACAACGATCCCCGTTCACCCCCACCACGTTACAGTATTGAACAGAAGTGAAGTTTGGTACACAAATGCAATGATAACGAATAAACATGAGATGCAAGAAGAATCAATGAGAATCCCCAACATCATAGCATACAGAAACAAAACCTGGAACAATAACAGATGCAATCTTCCCACCAGGATACCAATCATGAGAAGATAGAAGGTAGGGGAGGTGGGGTTCTCTGCTCGAAAAAACAGATGGAAATCGAAAAAGGAAGGAAAGATAGACGGGAAAAGAGACTACATAGCGTACACTCATCGGGAACACAAAGGTCATTGCAGTGATGTAATCCACCACAGAACTGCAGAGGCCAAGAGAGGAATAAAAGAGCAACAGAGCAATGGTGGACACACTTGCTGAGTGCAAGAAGACTCACTCCACAGAGCAAAGTTCTGTTAGGGGGATTTCAACCACAGGGAGATTGACTGGGAAAACCTGGAGCCACATGGGGGTCCCAAAACATGGAGAGCCAGATGTTGGACGTGGTGCTGGAAAACCTCATGCACCAACATGTTAAGGACACTACCAGAGTGAGAGGGGAGGATGAACCAGCAAGATTGGACCTTGTGTTCACCCTGGGCAGCTCAGACATTGAGGACATCAAGTATGAGAGCCCCTAGGAGCTAGCGACCACGTGGTTCTGTGCTTTGAATACATAGTAGAGTGCAAGTGGAGAGAATAACAGGATAGAATGGGAAAAGCCTGACTATAAAAGAGGGGACTACATAGGTTGAAGAACTTCATGCGGAGGTCCAGTGGGACAGAGAACTGGCAGGAAAGCCAGTAAATGAAATGATGGAATATGTAGCAACAAAATGCAAGGAGGCAGTGGAAAGGTTCATTCCCAAGGGCAACAGTAAACAACGGAAGACCAGAACAAGCCCTGGTTTACCCGAACGGTGTAGGAGGCAAAAACAAAGTGCAAAGAGAATGGAAAAAGTACAGAAGGCAGAGAACACACGAAAATAGGGAGATCAGTCGCAGAGCCAGAACGAGTACGCACAGGTAAGGAGGGAGGCCCAGCGACAGTATGAAAATGACATAGCATCGAAATCAAGACTGACCCGAAACTGTTGTATAGCCACATCAGGAGGGAAAACAACAGTCAAGACCAGGTGATCAGATTAAGGAACAGAAGGTGGAGAACTCACAAGAAATGATCAGGAGGTATGTGAGGAGCTGAACAGGGGATTTAAGGAAGTTTTTACAGTAGAGACAGGAAGGGCTGTGGGAAGACAGCACAGAATGGGAACATCAAAGGAATATACCAACAAGTGTTGGATGACATACGAACAACTGAGGAGGGGGTGAAGAAGCTCTTAAGGGAATTGACACCTCAAAGGCGATGGGACCGGACAACATCTCCCCATGGGTCCTTAGAGAAGGAGCAGAGATGCTGTGGTGCCTCTAACCACAATCTTCAACACATCCCTGAAACTGGGCAACTACCTGAGAAATGGAAGACAGCTAATGTAGTTCCCCATATTTAAGAAAGGAAACAGAAACGAGGCACTAAACTACAGACCTGTGTCTCTGACATGTATTGTGTGCAAAGTATGGAGAAGATTATCAGGAGGAGAGTGGTCGAACACCTGGAAGGAACAAGATTATAAATGAAAACCAGCATGGGTTCATGGAAGGCAAATCTGTATCACAAACCTCCCGGAGTTTTATGACAAGTAACAGAAGTAAGACACGAGAGAGAGGGTTGGGTTGATTGCGTTTTCCTAGACTGCAGGAAGGCCTTTGACACAGTTCCCCACAAGAGATTAGTGCAGAAGCTGAGGGATCAGGCACCATAAAAGGAAGGGCACTGCAATGGATAAGGGAATACCTGACAGGGAAAGGGAGCAACGAGTCATGGTACGTGAAGAGTATCACAGTGGGCGCCTGTTACGAGCGGGGTCCCACAGGGGTCAGTTCCTAGGACCAGTGCTATTTTTGATATATGTGAACGACATGATGGAAGGATATAGACTCTGAAGTGTCCCTGTTCGCAGATGACGTGAAGTTGATGAGAGAATTAAATCGGACGAGGATGAGGCAGGACTGCAAAGAGACCTGGAGAGGCTGGACATGTGGTCCAGTAACTGGCTCCTCGAATTCAATCCAGCCAAATGCAAAGTCATGAAGATTGGGGAGGGCAAAGAAGACCGCAGACAGAATATAGGCTAGGTGGGACCCAAAAACTACAGACCTCACTCAGGGAGAAAGACCTTGGGGTGACCATAACACCGAGTACATCCCGGAGGGACACATCAACCAATAACGCTGCAGCATACGGGCGCCTGGCAAACCTGAGAATAGCGTTCCGATACCTCAATAAGGAATCGTTCAAGACACTGTACACCGTGTATGTTAGGCCCATACTGGAGTATGCAGCACCAGTCTGGAACCCACACCTGGTCAAGCACGTCAAGAAGTTAGAGAAAGTACAAAGGTTTGCAACAAGGCTAGTCCAGAGCTCAAGGGAATGTCGTACGAGGAAAGGTTAAGGGAAATCGGACTGACGACACTGGAGGACAGAAGGGTCAGGGGAGACATGATAACGACATACAAGATACTGCGGGAATAGACAAGGTGGACAGAGATAGGATGTTCCAGAGAGGGGACACAGGACAAAGGGGGCACAACTGGAAGCTGAAGACTCAGACGGGCACAGGGAGTTAGGAAGTATTTCTTCAGTCATAGAGTTGTCAGCAAGTGGAATAGCCTAGCAAAGTGAAGTAGTGGAGGCAGGAACCATACATAGTTTTAAGAAGAGGTATGACAAAGCTCAGGAAACAGAGAGAGAGAGGATCCAGTAGCGATCAGTGAAGAGGCGGGGCCAGAGCTGAGTCTCGACCCCTGCAACCACAAATTTGGTGAGTACAAATAGGTGAGTACACACAACACACACACCACACACACACACACCACACACCACACACACACACACACACACCCCACACCACACACACCACACACACCACACACACCACACACACCACACACACACACACACACCACACACACCACACACCACACACACACACACACACACACACACACACACACACACACACACAACACACACACACACACACACACATGACACACACACACAACACACACACACACAGACACAACACAGACACACACAGACACACACACACACACAGACACACACACATCACACACACAACACACTCAACACACATTCACACACACACACAACAGACACACAACATCATACACGTACGTACGCACGTACACACATCAATTCCTGCAATGCCACTTTTGGACGCGCGCACTGGGGATGAATTAGACGCGTGCCAAAAGTGTTTACCACAGTGGCCAAAGTTTAATGAAGCTTCATTCAGAACATTGCTTACAAGCCTCAGTTTACAAAGCTCTTTTATTTAATTTACGAAATTTATAGGCTGCAATATACAGTTGTGTAATGCTTGAAAAAAAAAAGGAGATACTGCAGTGCATTTTTTTTTTTGGGCCGTAGAATATAATAGTGTATAAACTTGACCCTGGTGTGGCGGTGAACAGGTGTGGCGGTGAACAGGTGTGGCGGTGAACAGGTGTGGTGGTGAACAGGTGTTGAACAGGTGTGGTGGTGAACAGGTGTGGCGGTGAACAGGTGTGGTGAACAGGTGTGGTGAACAGGTGTGGTGGTGAACAGGTGTGGCGGTGAACAGGTGTGGTGAACAGGTGTGAACAGGTGTGGCGGTGAACAGGTGTGACGGTGAACAGGTGTGGCGTGTGAACAGGTGTGGCGGTGAACAGGTGTGGAACAGGTGTGGCGTGAACAGGTGTGGCGGTGTGAACAGGTGTGGCGGTGAACAGGTGTGGCGTGTGAACAGGTGTGGCGGTGAACAGGTGTTGGCGGTGAACAGGTGTGGCGGGTGAACAGGTGTGGCGGTGAACAGGTGTGGTGGTGAACAGGTGTGGCGGTGAACAGGTGTGGCGGTGAACAGGTGTGGCGGTGAACAGGTGTGGTGGGTGAGCAGGTGTGGTGGTGAACAGGTGTGGTGGTGAACAGGTGTGGTGAACAGGTTGTGAACAGGTGTGGCGGTGAACAGGTGTGGTGAACAGGTGTGGCGGTGAACAGGTGTGTAGGTGCGGTGAACAGGTGTGGTGAACAGGTGTGGCGGTGAACAGGTGTGGGTAAAGTGTGGTGAAAGGTGTGGCGGTGAACAGGGTGTTGAACAGGTGTGGTGTAACATGGTGAGTGGCGGTGAACAGGTGTGGCGGTGAACAGGTGTGGTGGTGAACAGGTGTGGCGGTGAACAGGTGTGGCGGTGAACAGGTGTGGTGGTGAACAGGTGTGGCGGTGAACAGGTGTGGTGAACAGGTGTGGCGGTGAACAGGTGTGGCGGTGAACAGGTGTGGCGGTGAACAGGTGTGGCGGTGAACAGGTGTGGCGGTGAACAGGTGTGGTGGTGAACAGGTGTGGCGGTGAACAGGTGTGGTGGTGAACAGGGAACATAGTTCTTAACTGCATCACGTCGGGAAAAGTTTACATCACGTAGGGAAAAAGTTTGCATCACGGCCTGTTAGCGGCGAGGCTGGCGGTCTGTTAGCGGCGAGGCTGGCGGTCTGTTAGCGGCGAGGCTGGCGGCCTGTTAGCGGCGAGGCTGGCGGTCTGTTAGCGGCGAGGCTGGTCCGGTCTCCTGTTAGCGGCGAGGCTGGCGGCCTGTTAGCGGCGAGGCTGGGCTGTAGCGGCGAGGCTGGCGGCCTGTTAGCGGCGAGGCTGGCGGCTGTTAGCGGCGAGGCTGGCGGCTGTTAGCGGCGAGGCTGGCGGCCTGTTAGCGGCGAGGCTGGCGGTCTGTTAGCGGCGAGGCTGGCGGTCTGTTAGCGGCGAGGCTGGCGGCCTGTTAGCGGCGAGGCTGGCGGCCTGTTAGCGGCGAGGCTGGCGGCCTGTTAGCGGCGAGGCTGGCGGCCTGTTAGCGGCGAGGCTGGCGGCCTGTTAGCGGCGAGGCTGGCGGCCTGTTAGCGGCGAGGCTGGCGGCCTGTTAGCGGCGAGGCTGGCGGCCTGTTAGCGGCGAGGCTGGCGGCCTGTTAGCGGCGAGACTGGCGGCTTGTTAGCGGCGAGGCTGGTGGCCTGTTAGCGGCGAGGCTGGCGGCCTGTTAGCGGCGAGGCTGGCGGCCTGTTAGCGGCGAGGCTGGCGGCCTGTTAGCGGCGAGGCTGGCGGCCTGTTAGCAGCGAGGCTGGCGGCCTGTTAGCAGCGAGGCTGGCGGCCTGTTAGCAGCGAGGCTGGCAGCCTGTTAGCGGCGAGGCTGGCAGCCTGTTAGCAGCGAGGCTGGCAGCGTGTTAGCGGCGAGGCTGGCGGCCTGTTAGCAGCGAGGCTGGCGGCCTGTTAGCGGCGAGGCTGGCAGTCTGTTAGCAGCGAGGCTGGCGGCCTGTTAGCAGCGAGGCTGGCAGCCTGTTAGCGGCGAGGCTGGCAGCCTGTTAGCGGCGAGGCTGGCAGCGTGTTAGCGGCGAGGCTGGCGGCCTGTTAGCGGCGAGGCTGGCGGCCTGTTAGCGGCGAGGCTGGCAGCGTGTTAGCGGCGAGGCTGGCAGCCTGTTGGCGGCGAGGCTGGCAGCGTGTTAGCGGCGAGGCTGGCAGCGTGTTAGCGGCGAGGCTGGCAGCCTGTTAGCGGCGAGGCTGGCAGCCTGTTAGCGGCGAGGCTGGCGGCCTGTTAGCGGCGAGGCTGGCGGCCTGTTAGCGGCGAGGCTGGCAGCCTGTTAGCGGCGAGGCTGGCAGCCTGTTGGCGGCGAGGCTGGCAGCGTGTTAGCGGCGAGGCTGGAAGCCTGTTAACGGCGAGGCTGGCAGCCTGTTAGCGGCGAGGCTGGCAGCCTGTTAACGGCGAGGCTGGCAGCCTGTTAACGGCGAGGCTGGCAACCTGTTAACGGCGAGGCTGGCAGCCTGTTAACGGCGAGGCTGGCAGCCTGTTAGCGGCGAGGCTGGCGGCCTGTTAGCGGCGAGGCTGGCGGCCTGTTAGCGGCGAGGCTGGCAGCCTGTTAGCGGCGAGGCTGGCAGCCTGTTAACGGCGAGGCTGGCAGCCTGTTAACGGCGAGGCTGGCGGCCTGTTAGCGGCGAGGCTAACAAGAAAATATGCAGCCAGAGCTATTGCTACGTGCAACAAGAATGCATCGAGAGCTTCGCTAGCTCATGCAACGAAATCTTCCTTACAACACTAATATGTAGTGTGTGATAAATGGTTTGAAAAAACCGACAAGTTGAAGATTGAGACACTTATGCAACATATGGGAATTTTTATTGAGGAACCGTTTCGCCACACAGTGGTTTCATCAGTCCAATACAAAGCAGAAAGTTGTAAGGAGAGGAGTTTGAGGTAATCAGTCCCTCAGCCAGGAGTCGATGTGCTCAGTCCATCAATCTTGTAGAATGTACAGCATAGGGCTTTTTTCTCAATAAACATTCCCATGTGTTGCATAAGTGTCTCAATATTCAAGTTGTCGGTTTTTCAAACCATTTATCACATCTGTCAGACACTGCAGCATCATGGGATCTTGATACAAAGAATTCTTCAACATTTGTCCAACCTTTGAACGAAGACCTGCTTCGACTAGTGGATGGTACCACTATGACCCCGCCTCCTCCTGCTTCGCCTCACCTGACTACAGTATACAAGCCACGTCTACGGCCCTATGCTGTACATTCTACAAGATTGATGGACTGAACATATCGACTCCAGGCTGAGGGACTGATCACCTCAAACTACTCCTCTCCTTACACCTTTCTGTTTTGTATTGGACTAATGAAGCCACTGTGTGACGAAACGTTTCCTCAATAAAGATTCCCCTTTGTTGATAAGTGTTTCAGTTTTCACTAATATGAAGGTTCAATTGAAGCGGCTATATGTAGCAGTATTGTTACAATTTTGTCTTCTATACAAGGGGACAATTTGTGGAAGTTTTTGTTAAGGTCACTTGAATGGCAGTCTTGATTTTGCACCCTGTCCTCTGCCGTTAATAAATAGCGTGTGCTTTCCATCCATTTCAGCAACGGCGATGATTCTCATTGTGTACGTTATAATTATAAGGTGATTGTATGTAACACTTCATATTTCAGTAATAAAAGAAGTGTAACTATATACTGTTGGAACTATATTACACACACACTTTGGTCACCTGGTGTAATTTTTGGAAAGAAGAAATCGATCTTGAAAGATACGCTTGCTTTGTGTGTATGTAGGCTTGTATTAGCGAGTCAGTGGCGGTCTAGAAGTCATTCGTAGGTAATCTGGTTCTTGCCTTACCTATGTTTGACCTGACTAGCGTGATGTTCGTGTGGGAAATATGAATGCTACACATGACCATAAAAATTGGATTTGTTCTGCCTTAATACTGTTCTGTGGACAAGGTTTCTTGTGGTAGTAGTGGAGAACAATGGACATAGTGCATCATACAGGAACTGTTTTTACACAGCCGCCTTTTATAATTTTCATGAGTTAAATGCAGTACTGTTACAACTTAAATGTGTTTAATTGCCATGCATTGTCGTTTCACTTAACTTGACGCATTGTAATTAGTCCTTTATTCATAAATTACTTACGTAAGAAATTTTAGCATTTATTGTTTGTGTGTGTGTGTGTGTGTGTGTGTGTGTGTGTGGTAAAAGTACGATTTCGAAGAGTATAGTGAAAGCTGGTACGCAACAATTAGCTTTGGTGCAATATCGATTAAGTATTTCAGTGTTAAAGAAATTTGAGGTTGCATTACGTAAGGTCTCGGTCTCTCTCTCTCTCTCTCTCTCTCTCTCTCTCTCTCTCCTCTTCTCTCTCTCCTCTCCCTCTCTCTCTCTCTCTCTCTCTCTCTCTCTTCCCCTCTCCTCTCCTCTCTCTCTCTCTCTCTCTCTCTCTCTCTTCTCTCTCTCTCTCTCCTCTCTCTCTCTCCCTTTCTTTCCTTACCCTTTACACCTGGAATATTGCTGCGTCTTTCACTGCCCCCCCCCCCGTCCTTTCCTTCCCTTTTCCTTCTCAGAAGCCTGCGACGCGCACCATTTAGTTTAACAAACTTTGGGACACCCCCTCGGTGTGCAGCTCCTCTATTCTATATGATGGTTACACTGTGGGAACAAAACTAGCTGTGCTTCCCATGTTATGTTTCATCACATGATGACTTGCATAGAGGAGGCTATTATTAATCAACTCACTATACTATAGTGACTAGGTTCAGTAGCTATGAGTTTTTAAAAGGGTTCATTCCAACTGGGCTGAAGTTAATATTACATTATAAAGGAACCACCATGTCTCATGTTGACCTTTCCCACAGAAGGAATAAATTAAAGCTATGAAGGCATCTGTGCCGGGTAAGTATACGAGGGTATCATTAACAGAGATCGACCGACTGACTCGGTGAGTGTACATAGACACATGCACTAACCATGGAGGGTTTTTCAACGCGCAAATTACTAACAGATAAAATTACAATCATACTTCAAAATTGAGAGTTAGTCTAATCAAAGTGATAACATGTATGATAGGCTGAAATCTTAACTGTTGGGGGTCCTACACACACTACACCATCGATTCACTAATAGTTACTTAATCGATTATTTTACACACATTCTGAGTCAGTCAATGAACACTTGTATTGATAAGACTAGAAATAATTTCACAATGCCCCCTCACACGATGAAATTATATCTATTTTGGTTGCATCAACTGAGATTCAGCTTATTAGGAGGCTAAGATACGAGGACGTGTAACTGGCACCATATATAGCAGGGAAGCCTCTCCACTGTCCCAGTCTCGGTGACCTTAGTCGTATATGAATATGGCTCGTCCACTAACGCTTTATCACTTTTGTTTTACACATGGTATCAGACGTTTGCGCACTCTGCAGTTGTGTTGAATAATACTTAAGTGGAATAATTGTTGTAGAAAA